TATTGAGCCCAGAGAGTTATTTGCATGGCATTAAGACATGAATGCTGGCCGGATGAGGAAGCTCAAGGTCGCTCAGCGAGCTATGGAGAGGGCTATGCTCGGAGTTTCTCTGCGTGATAAACTCAGAAATGAGCATATCCGCAGTAGAACCAGAGTGACCGACATAGCCCAACGGATTAGTAAACTGAAGTGGCAATGGGCCGGCCATATAGCTCGAAGAACCGACAACCGATGGGGAAGAAAGATTCTCGAGTGGCAGCCTCGTACCGGCAGGCGAAGATATGCAGGAAGTCGATGGATGCAGGTGGCTCAGGGCCGTGCTTTGTGGCATTCTTTGGGGGAGGCCTATGTTCAGCAGTGGACTTGTGAGGGGCTGTAATGATGATGATGAAGACATGAATAAAAGTCTTTCTGTCTGTCCAGGATATGGAATGAGTGAAACCATTGTGATAAAACTTCACGAACAGATCGAAAGCAAGGTCTGATGTCATCTAGGCTTTTTATCCGGAAAATATGCAAGTTTTTTTTTGTTAATATGAAACACTGATAAAATAAATAAATGGTTTTTGATGATTATCTCAGCACTCTCATCATTATGAGATAATTAAAAAAGTTTCGAACAAAACTTTTTGATTTGCAATTTTAAACAAAAAAGGTCCTGACACTTCTAATGTCTTAAAATAGATTTTTTACGTCAACCCCAATTTACAACAAAATTATAACTGCTAAAGGATACGGTAATTAGACCTTTTTTACGTGAAATTAATAGATTTTCCATTTTTATTTTTTTATATACTGCACATAGTTTTAAAGATAATAGCAAAAAAAACTGGGTAAGCGATTTTTAGATAATTGATCTACTAACCAAAATACCAATATCATAGATCAGCAAGTATTCAACATGGACAAAGTCGCGGGTAAAAGACATCAGCTCTTATTTTATAATTGATACTAGCGATACACCCCGGCTTCGCGCGGGTGATTCCTGGATCTCGACAGCAGCGCCACCTACCGGGTCCAATTGTTTCTTTTTTTTATTATTCTTTTTTATTTTAAAAACATACATAGATTTCACAAGGGCAAACATCCAGATCCAGAACTGTTATCTGCAGGCCATACTTGTTCCATGCGGGATTCAAACACGCAGCCCTTAGCGCTCGAACTCATTGCTAAGCCACTGCGCCACGGAGCCGTCATTGTAAATCTAAACCATTCTCGAAATAACTTTATCACACACACAAAATTTCATCAAAATCGGTCCAGCCGTTTAGGCGTTCAGTCACATACACACGGACAGAAGAATTATATAATATGCATGTATTATACATATTTGGCATATGGAAGGAAAAGGGGAGATCTTCCACCAGTCAAGGTGTTCAGCCGGAGAAGGAGCAGATAACGCTTCGATTGGTAGTTCGGAGATATCCTGTATAAATATATTGCTTTTAATTCGGAACTTGATAGCGCGATTTAGACTTCGATGTATTTTCACTTTTGGTGCGACGACAGCGCCACCACGTCGTGCTCAGCACGGAGGTCGATAGTGCAGTCTAGATGTCGACGAATGTGCAAGTGCCAGGAATTGTCTTGTAGTCTGCGGTGAGTCGAGAAGAAGGCATGTAATCTGCGAGTATACCGTGAAGCAGAGGCGAACAGTAAGGCTCAGAACCATGCCAAACACTGTAGTGGAGACAGTGCTTGAAGGAACAGGAAGCATTATTATTCCAGTGCTGCGTTAAACCTTTCTAAAGTTATATGGCTTGCAGAATGTGAAGACTGCAGTTACTATCTGCTCGGGAGCGAATGAATGGAGTATACTTGAGGATTGAGGACGATGATGGAGATTTGAAGTTGTAGTTTCCGAAGGTTGTTGGTTGCGTGTTCATATCACGTTGGTTGTTCACTACTGTGGCCGTGGTAAGAAAAAGGAGAGAACTCCAGCCAGGCAAGGTGTTAGCCCATGGAGCGACCAACACTCCGGGTGGAGAGTTCGGAGCTATTCTATATAAATATACAGCTTTTACTTAGAAACTTTAATAGCACGAGTTAGGCTTCGATGTATTTTCACTTTTGGCGTGACGACACCGCCACCACATATAGAAACCTTCCTCTTGAATCATTCTGTCTATTGATGGAACCGCATCAAAATCCGTTGCGTAGTTTAAAAGATCGAAGCTAACAGACGGCTGGAAGCGACTTTATTTTATATTATGTAGAGATATCGATATTAATATTTCAGACTTCGTCTGGATAGGATTTATTAATAATCGGATATCCATTCCATCTCTTATTATTACCAATTTATTAGATGGTGCATAATCTAATGGAATATTTTACAACTCAAAATTTATTAAACAGCCAAAAAACTACTATCTCACAAAAAGTATTACTATCACAATGTTAAGGTAACAAAAAGTGTTATCTCAACAGTTATAACGTCATGCCCTATTTTCCCACTATTAGAGGTAAATTTGTTACTTCAAATTTAATAAAAATATAGAATAATTAGATTGGTTTATAACTTGTCAAACAACTTCAAAAAAGGAGGAGGTTCTCAATTAGTCGGAATCTTTTTTTTTTATGTATGTTCACTGATTACTAAAAGACGCCTGAACCGATATGGAAAATTATTTTTTTGTTTCTAAGGGTATACTTCCCAGGTGGTCCCATTTAAATTTTATGGAGTCAGTCGAGGGGTTTTAAAAAAATCAATGATAAATTACCTATATTCATTTTGAAGTTGTTTGTACATTTTTTAAGTTACCACTTATACCTTGATAGCTTTCTTCAATGGTTCTATTAAGGAAGCATATTGATTCTATTATGGTAACACCATATAACTCATAATCAATGAATAGAATATCATATGTATTGCAATAAATGGTTTCTATGATCTTTTAAATTGATTGTGATACTACATTTTTAGGAATATAGCTTTGATTCAGGTTCATAATGTTCAACCCAAGTCTCTTCACCAGTTAAAATCTGGACCGTATCTTTCTTCTTTTGCTCTCAATAACACTCCAAAAAATACATGGCTCCTTTAACAAACATTTGTTTACAATAAATGGTACAGATATTCCCCTGTGCAGGTCACATATATTGGGGAAGAAGAAACGGCAGCCCACGTATTGCTGACATGTCAAGAAGTCACTGCATACAGGGCTAAACATCTTGGCACACCGGGATCACTCCCCGAAGTTGCTCGCAACATCAAAGGACTGTTGAACTTCTTCGGGAGACTTCACAGCGCAAATAATTGCATTACTCCTGGCCACAAATTTAAAACTTGCGCTTAGACATGGAGTTACAGAAAACAGCCTATCGTTATATATCTATCTATCGGTCCAAAAACTCACAAGAATACTCATCATGCTTGCATTTTGAAGTAGTATTAGCATTTTCGGAAACCATCTTGCACTGACTTTAATCATCCCAAGATGTTAATGTAAGATAATTAAAAAGGTTGATCGACTGGCCAGACTGACTCTTGTCTTCAATGAAGTTCTTCCCTTTCTTAAAAAGATATTGACGATAAAACACCATGGCTCTAACAGGGGTGGTGTCCCCATAAACAAATAATAGCTCTTGAAATATTGTATAAGGCATCTTCCTTCAGGCTGATTTTTTTCATGAAGAACTTGTATGCAATTGGTTTTAAATTTGGTATACATACACTTCCCGTGCTGTTAAAGAATGAGATTGAAAATGGCGTCACCTCTATTCACCTCTCGCTCTCATACTGTCGCTATCTATATCATACCCGCCGGTAAAAACAAAAAAAAATATGTTGCAATATGCATTTTTCATATGTTCTATAACTTCAATCCAACTTGTTAATGGAATCAATGATAACAAAATGACAAACTAAAAAAAATTTGTTCTGTTTTGCTTATTTGTTAGCTACAGTGCGTTCTTAGTTTTCTTCGTAATTATTGTTGATTTTATTTGTTAATATTTACGTATTAAATATTTACATACCATGGAGACATGAGTAACCATTTTTAAACTTTTTTAAAGGTTTGATTCAAAAAATAAAATTCAAAATTTCTGTTTGATTGGAAATGATAATACAGATCTTTACGTTACACATTTTTAAGCTAATCTGATCTCTAAACTGTTTAAAATGGGTAATAATTTTTTTCTACTGTCAGGACAAAACATTTGGTTTACAACAATTATTAATACAGTTTCCTAAATAAGTTATGTCACCTTAGATATATAGCAACATTACATAGTATATTGATTTCATCTATGATTATAATAACATGACAAATCTTTTCAGAACTATTTAAAGAAATAAATTAATATTATAGAACATTTATTGACACTTTATGGTATTCTATTAATAAAGGATGAAGCAAACGTAATATAAACAAAAAAATAGGACCGAAAATCTCCATATTATTTAGTATTTACAATTTCAAGTTATTTAATGAAGAAACTTTTTGTTTAGTATTATGTTATGGCAGAATACTTTTAGTTAAGCGACAAGATATTTCTTGCATTGAAATTTTAAAGATAATTTGTATATGTTCCTCTGGTTAATTTGCTGAAATAAAATGAGCCTAATTAAGGCAAATCAAGCACCATATACTTGTAAGAGAAACACCGGTCAGGTATAGGCTAATACTCGCTTTATAAATAGCAGGCTTAGACAGGACAGCCCTAAACGACCTTAACGATAAGGTAAAAGCATTCAATCGGATGCAATCAATGTGCAATCCACACGAGCGTAAATTGCCTCGCACTCTATCGCACGCAGTTTAAATAAATTCTAACTCAAATTCATGGTATTTTTACCGCCGACACTTAAATAAAAGTGAACACTTGAAATCGTACGCTGAAAAACTTAAATATACTGCTTCGCATTGGTAAAATGTATCCCCTCCCTAAAAATATCTTGAAGCAGGGAAAACGATTTTTCTATTTTTCCTCTACAAATAATTAGGGTTATGTTATTTACCTGAAAAGATTGTGGAATAATAAACAAAACTTACCCCATTGTTTCCTTTCCTGCTGTCATTTAAACACAGTAATTATGAAAATATTCTACTTCATAATTCCAGATTTTTTCCTATACACAACTGTCATGCGGCGATTTCACCATAAACTAGACAAAGTTATAGAAGACTTTATGGTTCGTGGAGTTGCCATTTGCCTGCAAAGATTTAATAATGTTTTGTTATCTATCACAGTACATATTTTTGTACCGAATCAATTTATGTGGTTAGTTGTGTTATACAAAATTTAAAATACGTTGTAAATATTCAAATGTTCATTAATAATTAACTTTTTTAAATTAAAGTAAGATGTGAAATATATAAAAATATAAAAGGAAACTTGCCATCTTTCGACAAATGCCTTAATTCAAGCATTTATTTATAGCTACTCAACACGAGGTAGCTCTTGTGTGTGATTGTTCTTCTCCTTGACAATAGAGTTCGCTATTAACTGGACTGAAAAGAAATATACTTGACTGATATTCTAAGTTTTAATTTTTTTTTAAATTACTGATTTTGTAAGATTTAAAAGTTTGGTTGAATCTAAGTATAAAATCTTAGAAACAATACTTACCTCTTATTTCTAATATTTTTAGGTTGCACATATTATTTAAGTATAAAAGATTTAAAAAAAAATATTACCGTGAAAAATATAATATTCATTTGAAACAGATAATTTTATGTTTTTGATATAGCAAAGAAAAGTTCTCGAGTAGCAGGCCACGTACTGGTAAGTGAAGTATAGGGCGGCTCCCAACCAGATGAAATGACGACTTGAAAAGACATGCAAGGAAGCTTTGATTATAGGAAATCAATGGCTTTTATAAAACATAGTCTTAGTTTCTGCCTACACGCAAAATTAGTGCAGTAGACTTTGATAGGCTGTAATTTGGACTTACAATCTCGCTAATGCGGGATCTTGGTATTCTGAGATTCCGCGTCATTTTCCTGTATTACGATAATATATACGTGGTGAAGACACGCTGCAGCTATATTTTGGTTGTAACACGAATGGGTCGGCTCGACCGGGGAGGGACCACGCTTTCACAAAATACTAGCGTGAAATAGCAGCTTAATGCTGCTGTGTTTTTTTTTTGTATGGTGAATATAGAGAACCGTTTTAGTTCTCATGGGCGACAACGAATCTGCATTTTGATTCTTAATCTAAATCGAGGATAGATCTAAATGTCTTTGGGCCACAACATCCAGTTACCATCGGGTATACAGTGTGCTGGTTTGTCACCCTTATTCTTTTAAAAATGATGATAGTGCAGGATTTGCGGGATTTTCTATTGTAGTTTGCCGATCGCCACCTAAAGCATAAGTACTTGATTATGCTTATAAAAAAAGTAATGACCCTTTAGGAATCTGTAAGTTCAATAGGGAAATATTTTACAATTACATAATGTTGCTTTGTAAAGGATATTAACATTGAGAGGGCTATTTTCTCTACCGACCTATAGGTGTTTCTAAGTTTATAAGATATACAGTAGTTAAGTAGTTAGTAGCGATTTTTCAATCATAGGTTACTATTGAAAATATTTTCAAAAAAGAACATTTCAAAATACTCGAAACTGAATGAGTTTTTAATTGATCTCATATATTACATTATCGTTTGGATTTTGATTTAATCTCTTTTTTATTAAAAAAGTAAAAAAATATTTTACATTGTTTTCTTGACTTAAATAAGTGTAAATTTCTATACACAAGATCCGTGCGGACTGGAAGCCCTAACTGTAGAACTAGCGAATGAATGAAAACTTTCACTCTATATTTGTTCGTTTATGTTGCATAATCTTATTACCTTTATTACGGTTCAATAAACTCTCAATTTATGTAGTCCAGTTTGCTGATTTTTTCCGCGTAAGAAGCAAAAATAATTTCTATGCAAAAAAATAACTGTAAAAGTCTTACGACCAATCACATCGCAGAAAACGCAACGAAACTAAAATTGAAAGTACTAACGCCATCTCCGAGAGTTTTGATGTAACTCGGGACAAATAGTTCAGTATAATATCTATACATATATTATAAATAAAATTGAACTGTCAGTCTGTATTATTAAAATAACTGGTCTCAAGGGGTTATTTGCATGCGTTTAAGACATAGCTAACCGTTGATAAAAAATTATCTGTCTATCTGTCTGTCTGTCCGGGCTAATCTTCAAAATGGCTGCACCAATTGTGATGAAACTTAACGAACAGATATAGAGCACTCTGGGCTATATTTTATAAAACGAAAAATTTCTAAAATAAATGGTCTTCAATTATCTTCTATATAAATAAAATGATAGAGGTTTGCAGTTGTGCGCGCATCACGGAAAAACTACTGGATAGATTTCAATTAGGTTTTCTAAGTTTTATTTCTTAGCCACATATCGAAATATTTTTTTAGTTAAGGGCCAATTATCTAAAAAAAAAAAAACTTTTCGATCTTCATATAACTAATATAACATAGAATTATTACGTAGGTAATAATTCTATGTAATATAAAGTCATAAAAGTTTTAAGACACAACGACTTTTATACTGGTGTTTTCGCATGGTCTGTACGTCGCTTGCTCTCGCGTTACTAACCCAGATAATTTCTATATTTTAGTTACAAAAGGAGCAACGAATAACATTATTTACAGAGAAATTTTGTAAGCAAAGTATGTTTTTGCTTGCAATGTTTTTGAAGTTTTTTCCTTCGCACATCATCATCATCATCATTTTTCATCATTACAGCCCTTCACAAGTCCACTGCTGAACATAGGCCTCCCCAAGGAATGCCGCAAAGCACGGTCCGTCGAGTTGAATCCGTTGATTGACCTCTCGGTCGAAATTGGACTTAACTAGTCGGACTATTTGTCCCAGGTAAACATACTCGTCAACAACTTCGAGCTTAGTGCTCCCAACAACTACCGGCATAGGTGTTACATGGACATTAAACATGATCTTTGTTTTGTCCATGTTCATCTTAAGACCTATCCGTTGGGAAACACTATTGAAGTTATTGAGCATAGTGCTTAGGTCCTCCAGCGATTCAGCCATAAGGACTATATCGTCGGCAAATCGAAGGTGAGTGATGTGCTTGCCATTGATGATGATACCGTATCCTTTCCAGTCCAGAAGCTCGAAAACGTCTTCCATTGCAGCGGTGCAGAATTTCGGGGATATGACGTCACCCTGTCTTACACCTCTCTGCAGTTGGTTAGGTTTCGTACTCTGGTTCTGTACTCGGATAGCCATCGTATCCCTACTGTACAAGCACTTCAATACTTCGATTCGACCGACAGTCAACTTGGCATCGCTGAAGGGACTGCAGCACCCGCCCAAATTTCGACAAAATCAAAGGCTTCCTCGTGGTCCACATACGCCAGACATAGTGGCAAATTGTACTCCTCTGACTTCTGTACAGTTTGCCGAAGGGTATGTGTGGTCTATGGTGCTAAAGCCTTTTCGGAAACCGGCTTGTTCGGGAGGCTGGAAGTCGTCAAGTCTGCGCGCGAGACGATTCGTAATGACTCTCGAAAACAGCACGTAGACGCGGCTCAGAAGGAAAATCGGTCTGTAGTTCTTCAAGAGAGCGTTGTCGCCTTTCTTGAAGAACAAGACCACCGCACTTCTGCTCCACGCCTCCGGTGGATTCCGGCCATCACGGAGGACGGAATTAAAGAGCGTCTGAAGGACTTCAAGTACCGGTTTTCCACCCGCTTTCAGAAACTCCGCTGTAATTCCATCCTCGCCTGGGGCCTTGCCATTTTTAAGGTGCTGGAGAGCCATTCTAATCTCGCTCAGACTGACATCCGGGATATCATCGGAATAGTGTCGGATAAGACTCGCTCTTGGATCGTTACTCACACTTGCGTGTGGTTCCAACGATGATGTGTACAGCTGCCGATGCTGCCACACTCGGTCTTCAGTTTCGATAGTTGGCTCTTTCTGGCAGACAGATCTCTAGCAAAGACTTTGAAGCCCTGGTTCCGCTCAATCGCTTCTTCAATACGAGCAGTATTAAAGTTGCGTAAGTCCCGCCGCATGCACTTGGAGATCTGTGTGTTCAGTTGCCTGTATCCTGTTAAATCTACTGAAGACTGCAGCTTCATATCCCGTCTAACAGCCATGAGATTAACAGTGTGATCGGAGAGTTTTTGTGTTCTTCTGCGGTGGGTCTTGCAAAACTGTCATTCATATCGTCCACTGCATTGCAATCTTCTAGGCACTGAAAACGGTTTCGTAGCTCCAGCTGAAAGGTTTCGGGACTTTGGATTAGAGCACGAGGGGGACGGAGCGTTGACTTCATTAGACGTGACCTCTCCAACTTAACGTTTAGGTTCAGTATGTCTCTCAGCATTCGGTGATCGCTGCTGGTTTTCACCCTCGCGATCACTGAGACATCACTAAACAGTTGTCGTCTGGTCATCATAATGAAGTCAATCTCATTTTTTGTCGAACCGTCGGGACTCGACCAGGTCCACTTCCTGTGGGGCCGCTTCTGGAAGAAAGAGTTCGTCATAAAGAGTCCCTCTTTCTCGATGAAGTCGGCCAGCTGCTGGCCCCTTGGGTTCCTTTGCCCTATTCCAAACTTCCCTACTTTCAGCTCACCGTTCTCTCTTCTGCCTAGTTTTGCATTGAAGTTTCCCATTAACACTGTATATTGGGTTTGGGAGAAATGCATGGCTCTAGAGATATCCTCATACATTTCCTCCACCTCCTCATCGGGGTGTGCCGAGGTTGGTGCGTAAACCTGTATGACCTTCAGCGAATACCGTTTGGTGATTCTGAGTATAAGGTACGCAACCCTCGTCGACACACTTCCAATCTTTACAACGTTGTTAACGAGAGACTTGTGGACGATAAATCCGACACATCCTTGGGACAGATGTTCCCGGTGATAGAACAAGTTGCCGGATTCGAGGATTACCGTGTCCTCCCCCTCTCTTCGGACCTCGGAGAATCCTATGATATTCCAGCGCAACTTGTCAATCTCTTCTTCCAGCTCCAGGATTTTCTAGTCAGTCCTCAGGGTGCGTGCGTTATAAG